CCCCCCCCCCCCGGCTGATATGGCGAGCATATTTGGTGGGACGGGGATTCGAACCCGCGACTCGCAGATTGACCGTCTCGAGAAAAGAGCGAGAGCAACTGTATATCTGGGAGATTGCCCGTCTCGAGAAAAGAGCGAGAGCAACTGTATGTCTGGGAGATTGCCCGTCTCGAGAAAAGAGCGAGAGCAACTGTAAGTCTGGGATGAGAACAGTCTGTTGTTACGCGACCAATTTTAGAGACGTAACCAATTTTCTAGCTTTAACAAATACTTGCGGTAACGTTATGGAGATCAGGCATTGCTCTTCTTTCTCTCCCTCTTTCATAAAGTTCCAATAATTAGTTTTCTAAAGCGTTACTAAAAGTAGAAGAAAAAAAGAAAACGTTGGTGCTATAAGAAGTTTCGTGCTGAGTGAGAAACTAATTCAAACTGAGTCGGCACTCCAGTTCAACATGGTAGGTTAATTCTGTTTTCACGTCGTTATATAGTTGGTAATACTCATAATGTAGTTAGTTAACGCGGTATGAATTAAAAATCATTAGGCCTTTCAACACTTCGCGACCTTTCTACGATCAAACTCCAACCAGAAATGATATTTAATACTTATATTTAGCCCTACCATTCAAAATTTTTAGCGATAGCCTCACTGGATGCATTGAATTTACTTTTTCTTTTTGATTAAAGTTGTGAATTATATCTAGCAGTCCAGGTGTTTTTTATACAATATCTTGATGTGTTATCATTCGCGGCAGACCCCATGCGATAAAGACAAACATGCTTTCGTAAATAAGCAGTAAATGTTTCTGCGAGTAAAAAAGTATATATTCATAAAAACAAGAAACAATATTAAAATATAATTCTTTTTTTTTTCCTTCTCATATATACTAATACGACGTGAAATGTACGCACCACATATCTCAGGCACTATTTTAAGCAAAGGTGCAGGTCAGGACTATGTTGTAGCGCCATCTAGTGGCAAATACATTCAATTACCACTGTATCTACTTTCGGTATTAAAAGGTTTATTTGAAATTGTGAATTTTGGTATTTCTGATGTACCCAATTTCCTTACAAAGGGCGACAATACAAATATTTAATAATTTGAACAAACTCAGTTTTATTAAATTAACATGAAAAGCACAGATAGTGTCGAGTAATAGTGTTCAGAGTGGTAGTAGCATAGGTATATACTGTATATATACATATTGTTATAACGTGTTCTATCTTTAGGCGGGCTCTTTTGGACTATTAAATAAAAATAATACCAAGTCCAGCCCCTCAATGACAATGAATTAACTTATTGGTTCAAAAAAAAATCCCACACGTGCAAGTATTTTAGTGTTTATTTTCGTGTTTTTCTATAAATCTTGAAGATGCGTCGTAAGTTACTTCCATTTTGGAAGACATGAAAAATTCCAACTCTTAATATTTAATAACGATTATAAAGTTCAAAGATGAGTAAGTTTGTATAGCGTTTAGGAGTTTGTGTTTTATTTCATTTGTTTTTTACAAATTACGTAGCAAGAACTAATATACACCGCCCAAGAATCTCAGCACCTAAAGTTAAGTGAAGAAAACGTAGGATTTCTAAAATATGAATTTTTTTAAATATTTGACTTTATTAATACCATCGCCTCAACACACTTCTGATTATAGCCCTATTTTAAGTTTGACTTTTAGTTTTTCTAATGGTCACATTGTATTAAACACTCCATTTGGAGTTACTTGTAGAACTTGGTAGATCGTATTTGTACGACTTCTGTTTAGTCCAAGTGTGCGTCCAAGGGTCTTCTAAACCAGTGGTTTCCAAACTCTTTTAGTCTAAGGCTCCCTTGATGTGAATAAAAAAGTTCGAAACCCACCAAACTATAACAATTGATTGAAAAACAATAGTAAAAACAGTAACATCTCCTTTAGACAAACTGTATCATCTAATTAATTCAGCATAATTTTTATCGGCTTATTGTTTATTTAGAATTTAAATTAATTCAGAATATTTGTTTTAGGCCTACTTTTTGGCGGCCCTCAGGGGGGCCTCGGCTCCCACTTTGGGGGACGCTGTGTTAAACTACAATGTATCGCACTTGCGACAAAAATCAAGGATAAACCCTAAAAATGCTAAACTGTATTCTGTTTTCAACGATCTTCATATTCCTTGTTAAAATCCATTACCCGTAGTCTAACAATATTTTGGTCACTAGTAGAATGTTTGAAGTTTTATTGTTGTTTAACCTAAATGTACTGTTTAATTAATTAATCTTATTTAGTTACTCTGAATACTGGTGACTGCTTGTAATATTTTTAATGAATTCAACTTGATTTTAGCGGAAGAATCTGGGCTTTGTGGTTCCTTGGATTATGACGACGTTGATCGTTATTATCTATGACGTCACTACAACCGTGTATTATACATATCGTCTTGTGGTGAGTGAATAATGTTTCTGAAGAAATAAGCCACATTTAAACTTATATTACGTCATAGTTTTATTCTTAAAGTGAGATTAGCGTAATATAAACTACATTTTGTAGTTTGGGCGTAGATGAATAGTAAACCAATTAGAGCAGATTGTTGGTTATTAAACCTAAACCAACACGTAGCTTGAAACGCACGAGGCTTTTTAAGTAATGCAACCAAACCATTTTTATAATGGATAGAGAAGTTGAGAAGATTCTAAGCCTAACTGAACGCACATAACATTGGGTGCTGTTGGCTAGTTGTCTTCCATCTAGTCTATGAAACGATTAGCACAGAGAGCCCCTGAGCAGCTTTGCGCGAATATCCGAAAACAAATAAACAAACGAAGTTTTCCGAAAAAATAAATGACGATTTATAAAAAAAAGTCACCGTGGCAGTAATTAGGAAAGGGAAAATTTAAATAAATGTGCAACTCGTAAAAATGGGGGAAAAATGGATAAAGTTTCGGAATATCTCTGAGGGCATACCCCCCAAAAAACCTGAATGTTTCATGGAGAACAGAGTCCAGGAAGTAGATACTAAGACTGCTAAACTCGTAAAAAATGAGAAAACGAATAAAGCAGGAGTTTTAGAATCCCGTGGGGGGCATAACCAAGAATCCGTTAAACTTTCATGATAATGAGAGATTGAGAACTTTGTACTACAGATAACCATCCAGACAGACAAACAAAAGACAATTTATAGTATAGAACAAGGGGTCACTAAACTACGGCCCGCGATGTCTGTTCATCCGGCCCGCCGCTGCACTGTGCCACAAATGAGCTAAAATATAA